ATGCTAAATACATGAACTTCCAAAGGGGTCACAAAATAATGAGCACATTGGGATGACATAGTAAATTTTCAGGATTCTGAAGATAATTTGTTCATAGTGTAGCCACCATAGCAAATCTATATATGCTGTTCTCTGTAAGGTATGATTACTGGAACACCACAGAATCAGAGTCAATATAATACTAATGTCAAGGGCTTGACAGTGAACTTCAGTTTGTTGGTCTAAATTTGAGATCCATGGCTTTGCATGGATCTGTGTGTGCATGGTCTGCAAGTGGTCTTGAGAAAATGGACAGCAGGAAAGCCGTGATGGCTATGAAATGCTTTGGTGGAGAATGATGCATTTTTAGGGGTGGGCATTAATTGAGGTCAGTTTAAAAACAGTTTAATCCAGTAACCAAAAGACCAAATTCTAAGAATGGTCCTAAATTCTAGTTAATCTGCCATTAACTAGCTGTATAATTTGGGGTAAATAACCTAAACTTCCTGGTTTAGGTCATTATCTACAAAATCATATGTAAAATCAAGTTTGTCATCTAGCATAGATAATCTATGAGGTTCTATTCAACTTTATAATTCTCTGAAATCTATGACTTAAGTAGCAATTGAAGTTATGTGGACAAAATACATCATTGCATTTTAGATAATCAAAAGGATCTTGTGCATCTCCTAACCCTATGGTCATGGTGTTTCTGAAAGACTCATGGAAATAGTATCAGTCTTGGTACCTTTGCTTCTAGTCATTAGTATTAGGCTGGTCTTTGCTGGCATCTTAAAAGCTGAGGAGAAGCTAAGAGTGGGAAACATTGATAGAGTCAAGAGTGAAAAAAAAAGGGGAGGGGGCATGGAGAAGGTAAAAAACCACCAGAATCGGGCGGTGCCTGTGGCTCAAGGAGTAGGGTGCTGGCCCCGTATACCAGGGGTCGCGAGTTTGAGCCTGGCCCTGGCCAAAACTGCAAAAACAAAACAAAACACCACAATCACAAAGCTGATAGACGGGGTTCTCTATTCTGACTCTCTGAACGTAAGTCTTCTGAGACCCCAGCGCTCACCAGCCTTATGAGAGGTAGGATATTCTAAGAAGGATAAAGAAGTGTGAACTCCCATTCTTGGGAGGAGTCTGCCTGACTGGGAAAAGGAAAAACAGATTTCCTGAGTCAGACCAGTACCTGCTGCTACCCACAGAAGTGGCTGGGCCAGAAGGAACCAACCTCCCCACACCTCAGGTGCAGCTGAGCTGCCTCTGGGTTTTCTGACACCCAGTGCCAGTACTGACTTTATGTCTCCCAGGACTGCACCTTTTCAACGCACCAGCTTACTACTGAGGTACTTTCAGGAGTTCTTGCTCCTTTTTTCAAGCAACCTTGAGGATGAACTATAGAATTTTTCTGTGCAGAGCAAAGCATGAACAGAAAAGCTTTTCTACTCAAGTAGCCATAATAACATCTGACTTTTATTGGGTATTTATGAGCAAGTGTGCCAGACCTTTTGCTAAGTGTTTTAAAATCATACCTCATTAAATTATCACAACACTGTGAGGTAAGTAACCCAGCTGAGTAAATGAAAGATCAGAGAGGGACAATAATTTGCCCAAAGTGATACAGCCTGTCAATGGCAAAGCTGAGATTAGAATGTGGTCCTCATCATATAGGCTCCCTGGAAGGAGGACTTTGTTTCCAGGGCCTATTTTAATTGCCCAGGATGCTCTCTCCATCTACACAAAGGCAAAGAAAACATGGAGACCACCGTCATGATGCAAGTTGCGCTAATGCTGTTGTTCTCCTGTTAACCCAAAGAGTATAGAATACATGTAAGTGGTGTGATTTTCTTCCCAGTGTGATACACAGTATACCCCACTCTATTTTAGACCAGCGACTTCTAGGGGGAATAGAAAATTAAGACATTGGATAGTCAAAGTATTTAGATGCTGCACTACTACATGCCAAGTAAGAAGTATTAATTAAAAACATCAAAATTTATCATTAGCAACACTATCAAAAGAAAAAGCATCTGGACTGGTCTGATAATCTCATAATAGTAATACGAGTAATAATTTAAGAAGCTTCCATAGTGACAAGGAAAAAGGCAAAATGAGGAATAATTTTTCTCCAAGTAATATCACTTAAATTTGTTGTGAGTCACTGTATGTTGTGAGATTTAAATATCCAGATGCTTAAAGGCTTAAAGATTATCAACAGTACTTGACAAATAAATAAAACAAGGACAGACATGCTTCTGTCATGCTTCTCCATGATTATCAAGGAAATGGAAATCGAATAATCAAGGGATTTGTTGGATTACCTTGGGTCCAGGAAGTCCGTGGGGTCCCTGAAAATGGAAAACAGAGTTTTTAATTAAGAATTGATTCACTGTTTCCCAGCAGAAGTGAATATTATATCAAGTAACAAAAGAGATGTAAAACAAGAATCTTCTTGTTTGAGCTATAGCTAGAGGCAAGCCAGTGGATGTTATTTATTACCTACCAAAAGTTCCTTCCAGTTCTTGGATTGCTCTGTAAAAGGAAATTCATTTATAGCAATTCTGTCTGCTATCTACCTATGTGAGAGAGGGGGAAATCTTCCAGTGTTATACAGAAGAAGAAAGTGCGGGAAAATGTATTTTGAATTCATGTTATTCCCAGTTCTCAAATTTCCATTAAAAAAGTCTGAGTAGAATATGTGAGATGCTCTGTGAGTTTTAATGGGATAGAGATAAGACTTAAGAGAAAGAAATTTGCCAAAGAGAAGTCTCAGACTTAAAGTACCAAGGAAGAGGAGACCTTTTCCATTAACTCCTCTAGACCCAAGGTGTCGAAGAATCTAAAGGAGACAGAATACTCTGGCTTCTCTTCAGATTACATATATCTTTTGCCTTTTAAAGGAGATAGGAAGTGAGGAGATGACTGCCAATTTTGAGGTTTTGTAGTATAATTTACCCAATTTAAGATTAAGGAAAATATTCTAATACAGGAAGTTTAAGCATTATTATTTAGATTGCATTTAATTTTACAAAAACTAATCCTTCAAGGGTCTAATAAAAATTATTTACCAGTGGAAGGAAGTCACAAGGCACACAAGAATCAGGATAGGAAAAAATACATATTTTGTACAAAATCTAAATATAGAGACTAATTAGCCAATCTAACTTGAGTTATTGTGGATTCTTTTCAACTTTCCAAATGATTGAAATAGACTATTTGTAGAAAAGAGTATTTATTTAAATATCCAGTGGAATCACAGAACAGCAGGAAAAATTTTTATCAGGCAATGCCTAGATATGTGTTACATATGTCTACATTAGAATAATATTTGTCCTTTAGATAAGTTGTGGATAAACATTTTCAGGAAATGGCTGTTACTTTATCAGGTATTCTTATCTCATTTTAATAATGGTTTAAAATTCCTTCTAACTAATTAATTTTATGATATGAACAGGATATAGCATTTTCTCTAATTTAATCTTCTAACTTAAAATAGAGAAGTATAAAAAAAGCCAAAAGTATACCATTTGCTTAATTCTTAATGAACTGTTTAGTTCTAAGAAAATAATTGTTTTCTAAAACAGAAATAGCAGTCAGGAAGAAGTGGAAAGTTATCCTCCCTGTGTGGCTCATATCACTCCAACGAAGCTCTTTCTTAGAGCACAAGAGGAGGAAAGAGTGATCACAATTCCTTGAATTTGCATTATTGAAGTTTTTTAGTTTACTGGGGCACCTTAGAGATGCATGTGACCTTATAGCCTGCTTAACTTACCCCTATTCTGCACCAGTCAAAAGTGTTCTAACGGTAACTCACCTGACATTGGTTCAACCTTTAGAGAATGATACTTGCTTAATGACTGCCTTCCCCACTGGCCTCACGTTCTATGAGGGCCGAGTCACCACCTCCACTGACACATACCTGTAGTAAACCCTGGGCCTGACTCATGGAATCAACCAAAGTGTATAGCAACTGTGGAAATAGGCTTCTTCTTTTTTTTTTTTTTTAAGAGATAAGATCTTGCCATGTTGCCCAGGTTGGAGTGCAGTAGCTATTTAACAGGTGCGATCACAGCACACCCCAGCCTTGAACTCCCCTGGCTCCAGCGATCCTCTCGCCTCAGCCTCCTGAGCATTTGGGACTAAAGGTGCGTGCCATTGTGCCTGGCTAAAGTCCAACTTTCATCATGCTATTTTATAAATATATTTTTGAAAAATGAACACATAATAGCTATACATACTTAATAGGGAACAATGTGATATTTCAATACATGCACACATTGAACATTTTATTCAAGCATCTCAAAACTCGAAGCTTATTAGAAACATTCTTTAATGGTTATAATTATTAATCTTATTTTGCTACTCATAGACTAGGGTATGACTGGTTAAAATGACTGGCCAATGTTCACGCCATAAGTTTGCAGTACAGCTTGCCAGATCTGTCTTTGCTTAACTCTCCTAACATAAAACTGCTCTATCTCTTCCCAACCCATGTCTGGGTGAGAGAAAGACAACACTGTAAAGTCCTGTAGCTCAAAGCGCCTCAGACTTTCTGTCCATTCCTCAGAGAGGAGCACAAACCCAAGCTGGCTGTTCAGGGGATGTGTTCACGTTTTTTCTAGCAGCACACTCATAAATAAACAATTGCATTTTGCAGCGAAAGGAAACTTACCATGGGGCCGGGTGGGCCGTGGGGACCCGGTGGGCCTGGTGGGCCTATGATCTGTATGTTCAAAAATAAACAGGTTTGGTTACTTCATTTAGCTAGGCAGTTCAGCTTGAATCTTGTGCAGGGGTTCTGCTAAGGCCATTGATAGTTATCGAGAAAGAATAAGTGATGTGCCTGATTCTCTAGAATTTGAAATTCCTTCATGAGAATAAAAATTTCAACAAAACAAAAACAGTTGTTCTAAAAAAGCCAGAACAAATCAGGAGCACATTAAAAAAAAAAAAAAAAAAAGGAAGTAACTGATCACCAAGAAATTCTCTAACACCATGACCGCTATTAAACTTTCAAATACTTCACTAACCATAAACAGGGCTCCAGAGAAAATAAAAAGTATGTTCTATATTCACAAAGCTCTACCCACAAGGGTTGTGGGAAAACTATTGATTTTCTCACGATTACACCGTCCTCTGAAAAACTGCTTCTTCCTCAGACCTCTGAGACACTTTCTCTCTCTCTGTTCAAGGCCAATAGATACTGTTTCTACAGTTTGGCAAACAAAATGGTTCCAGGTCTTTCTACTATTGCTCAGCCTTCTAGCAAAGGTGGGACTGGGTAAAGGATAGGTCGGAGTTCCAGAAGTTTCAGGAACCACGGAGTTCAGCTGCCAGGGACTTACAGAAGGACCCTGAGGACCCGGCATTCCAGAGTCTCCCTTTTCTCCCTTCATTCCATTGGCTCCCTGCAAATAACCAGTAAGGAGAGTTAAGCAGGAAAAGTTATTTTCAAAGTATAAGACTCAATTTTCTCCCCCAAACCATCATCCTCTTGAAATGTTATATTATTATGAATGTGACATATAAAAGAAAGACTTATCTCTTTGCATTCTAAAACAGTAAGCTTACCAAAGTCTCTAGGATTGTGTGTGAGGTGTAAAATAAAATATAAATTAAATATAGGTTAAAAAAATACAGTGTTAAATATATTGGGTTATAAATGTTATATCTTTTATAGAGGTGCTCGTTTTAAACAGCAAAGGCAAGTCTTTTAACTTAGTTTTCACTGACATTTATATACTCTCTTGCTTAAAAAGAGGACTAAATCAATGAAGTTTACTACATTTTAAAAAATTTTTTATAATTTCTACATTTTCCTCTCCAAATTCTCAGTAAAAAATTATTAGGGACAAGGGTACAAGTGAATCTTTCTAAGAGTAGAATATGAATGTCTTAACACAATAACTAAGAAAATGACATGAAGGCTATGTTAACCAGTTTGATGAAAATATTTCAAATTGTATATGAAAATACCACACTGTACCCTAGAATTGCATTAATGTACATAGTTATCATTTAATAAAAAAAATAATGGGGGAAAACAAAAAAAAAACAACCCAAAAGAATAAAACCAAAAAAAAGGCAACCCTCCGAACAAACTAATTTTTAAATAATCTGTATTTTTGGTTTTATTTTTTTATGGTTTATTTTGTAATAATCAGTTACCAACGTCTTACACATACTAAATTAAAGTGACCAACTATATTAATTTTACTATTTCCTAGTGAAAATAAATTAAGAATATATGAAAGTTTACTTTATAATTCAATTTGGTTACATGCTTTAAAATTTCAGGCTCCTAGCTGGAGGTAATTAATAATACCCTCAAATATTTCAAAATTAAAAAACCAATGATCCATCAGATGGGTTTATCTGTCTTATTGAGAACATATAAAAAGTATAAACATACCGGTAATCCGGGAAGTCCAATTCCTCCTTTTTCGCCTGGCATTCCTGGGTCCCCCATGTCTCCCTTTGAGCCTTTGAGTCCCTACAAAGGACAGGAGTTGCACGTTAAGAAGCATAGTGACCCCTGATAGGTTACACCCTAGGAGAAATAGAATTGTAGATCAATTTTGTCAATAGGTGGGTCATATGCTGAGACAATTCTTTTTTTAGGTGGTTACTTTGATAGCAACCGTCTATATGCACTCAATACTATTTCCCCTTGTAATGGAAGGGATCAAGTTCTATTAAGCCATTTAAATGTGAAAAACACAAACTCAGAGTTTGAAATCATTTCTCCTGATTTCATATATTTTCCTGGCAACTATTTTTTATCTCATCAGTCCTGAAAATAATTTAATAGATTTAATTCTCAACAGTATGTTACACATTTTACATGAGGACTTAGTCTATAATAACAAAGGTCCGAATGAATTTCTCCCTTCTCCAACCACTATACTCCCCTACCCCACTTAAGGGCAGGCGGAAGTTCCAGTCACCATTAGTTTCAGTGGTCCAGTCTCCAGCCAGGTAAGTCATTTCCTGCCTGCCAGTGCTAAATCAATGCTTACAAGTACTTGAAGTTTTTCAGTGCTTTTATTCTGTTCTTATGACATCTCTATGAGGTGAGGCTGATTGCTATTTGTATTCCTTCATAGTGAGTAAATAGATAGATGTGTATTTTGAATGTTAACAAATCTGAATTTGATAATGCTAACACCTAAATTAATTTATATTGTTAAGCATTTCCATCCTAAGGACTTTACTGCAATATGACCAGTCACCCATTCTTCAGCAGACATGGTCATAGCTATTATGATAACAGGCTCTTAAGGCTTTACGAACCATCTTTTCTATATTAAAAATTACTTAGGAAAATAATATTGCCTTTTCCTGTTAATTATACTTATTTTATAGCACCTACTTTAGAATCACTCACTGGGAGGGTGAATAGGTAGGTGCTGAATGAATGGATGGATCTCACCGGCTAATCAGGCCATGGTTCATTTTAGGAATCTAGTGATGAAGAGCAGCAGCAGGGTCAACCTACTGGACTCAGTGGCAGAAGAAGACGAGGTAAAGCCAATAGAAAAAAATCAGCTACTGTATATGCAGCAGCCATGTAGTATGTCATTATGCATGTCAAATTAATCCTAAATACCAACAGTGAGAGGCATAATACAGCCAGATTTTAAAATTCTAAATGATCTCTGACATAGCAAATCATCTAAGTTATCTTTTTTTTTTTTT